CGGGCGCCCCTAGACGGGAGGTCTTCAACTTGCCGCGCCGTCTGTCGCCCCCTGCAGACGGCGGGCAGCTTCATCGTCGGCGGCGCTCGTTCGTCGTCGCGTGCCGTCCCGTGCCGCTCGCTGTTCGTCGCCCATTCGTGTGCTCGCTCGCTCGCTCGAGCACGCGCAGACATGGAGTGATGCGCGTGGATAGGCGACGGGTCCCGTTTCCAGACCAACTCTGGCGCGCTCCGTCGCCCCAATCAAGCGCCCACGGCGCCATGCTTCGTGCGCTACGCTCCCCGATCCCCGGATCCTGCACCCGCGCGCCGTATCCACGGATCCCTGATCCGTGTCAGCGTGTGCCCGACCCGTTCGCTCTTCCTTCGTTCGGCGCTCGTTGGCTCTTTTCCTCGTACCGCTCGCCGCTTCTTTGGCGGCGGAGGTCACGAGCGGCGCACGCATCCGTATCCGCGCCCTCGCGGTCTGCGTTCGGGGGCGCGATCCCGCGGATACGCGGTCGCACGGATACGTTCTGCGCGGGGCATCCGCGACAAAAACGTTCCGTACCCGCGGCGTCGTGGCCCAGGGGCCCGGCCCGCGAGGCCGCGGATACGGATACGGTTTTCGCCCATGAGGGGGGAAGTGAGCAGGAGAAGGCCTTCTCAGAAGGCTCGGAAGTCCCCCGGCCTTCTGAGAAGTTTCTAAGCCTTCCCCGAATATGCAGGCAACTTCTCTCGGGAGGCGCGAGGGCTTCTGAGAGGTCCCGCCGCCCCCTGAGAAGGCCTTCTCCTTCTCACCTCCCCCCTTCGCTCGCCGCCCAGTCATGGACGTCATCGCATCGGGGGCATCGGTAGGGGGGGATAGACACAGGAGGAATGCATCGACCCCCAATCGCCCATCCGTCGTCGATAAAGGGTCCGGGAGCCCCAACCCCCCAGGAAGAGCCCCAACACCCCAGGAACGTGGACAAGTTGCTACCGGGCGCTTATCGCCGATCTTGCGGCGTTGCTTCGCCGCCTATTTCGGCGGCGAGCGAGGGGGGCAAAATGAGGAGGAGAAGGCCTTCTCAGAAGGCGGCGGGACTTCTCAGAGGACCTCGCGCCTCGTGAGACGTTGTCTGCGTCTTCGGGGAAGGCTCAGAAAGCTTCTCAGAAGGCCCGGGGGACTTCCGAGCCTTCTGAGAAGGCCCGCCCCTTCTCACTTCCCCCTGGGCTCGCCGCCGATAATCCAAATCCTCCTCCTCCGCCTGCTCCTCCTCCTCCTCCTCCTCCTCCTCCACCTGCTCCTCCTCCTCCTCCTCCACCTGCTCCTCCTCTTCCTCCTCCTCCTCCTCCTCCTCCTCCTCCTCCTCCTCCTCCCCCTCCTCATTTCCCTCCCGCGCTCGGAGTCAAGCCAACCTTCGGCGGCGGCTTTCTCCTCCTCCTCCTCCTCATTTCCCTCCCGCTCCTCCTCTTCCTCCTGCTCTCCTCCTCCTCCTCCTCCTCCTCCTCCTCCTCCCCCTCCTCATTTCCCTCCCGCGCTCGGAGTCAAGCCAACCTTCGGCGGCGGCTTTCTCCTCCTCCTCCTCCTCATTTCCCTCCCGCGCTCGGAGTCAAGCCAATCTTCGGCGGCGGAGGGGGGCGCCGGGAAGGGCGCTCGCGGCGCTGGCGGCTCTTCTCGCGGCCGCGAGCGCGGACTTCGGGAAGGCGAGGCGGCGCGCGGGGGGGCAGGCGCGCTTCTCTCGCGGCCGCGCGCCGCCGCCGGCCTCTTGCCCGAGCCTCGCTCCCTTCGCTGTCCCTTCTCCATGCCTCCTCACCTCATCCTCCCTCCCATCCCGTCCCTCCTCCTCCTCCTCCACCCGTCCTCCTTCCTCCTCCTCCTCCTCCTCCTCCTCCTCCTCTCCTCCTCCCTGTGTCCGCTTCTCATTCCACCGCCCTCCCGTTCCTCCTATTCCTCCCACCCACCCTCCATCTCGCCCTCATCCCTCCCATCCCCTCCTCCTTTCCTCCTCCCGGTTTCCGCCCCCTCCGCCCTCCGCACTTTCTCCTTCTCCTTTTTACCCACCTCGCTCCTCCTCGCTCCCCTTCCCCTCCTACCGTCCTACCCTCTCCCCCGGCCCTCCTCCCCGCCTACGGTTTTCGCATTCCCCCCTACCCTATCCCTCCCCCCCTCCTTCCTCCTTCCCTCCTTCCCTCTTTTTCCCTCCTCCTTCCTCCCTGACCTCTAACCCCCCCGTCCTATCCTCCCTAAGACCTCCATCCCTCCTCGTACCTGCCTCATTGGCGGCAGGCCAATCCAGCATTCCAGCCTCCCAGCATTCACTCCTGTATCCCAGGCCCTGAGCCATCCCTCCCCTTGCTTTCCATCCTCACCCTTCCCTGCTGTTCCAATCCTCCCTTCTTTTTTTTCTTTTTAATTCTTCCCTCCCTCCGCTCCCTCCTGTTTCCTCTTTCCCTCCTCCTCCCTTCCTCCCTCCTCCCTCCATACTTCCTACCCAACTGCTTCCTCCTCCCGTTACATCCATCCTTCCCTCCTATTTTCCTTTCCTCCCTTCTTTCTTTCTTCCCTTCTTCTCTCCCTTCTTCTCCTTCGCATGCGATTTCTCGGGCTCAACGTCCCCGTCCCCAGAGCCCCTCCTACCTCTCCCCCCAAATCAGGCTGCTCGGCAAGGGAGGGGAACTCGGGCCTGTTCGGAAGCACCCCGATCAAGGTTAGCCGCATGTTCCCGAGTTGTACCCCAGGTCGAGCCCTCCAGTCTTGGATCAGGCGGGCGGGGCTAGGAACGGGGTGAATCGTTCCAGAGCGTTCCAGCACGCTCTCAGAGCGTTTCGGATTGCCCTGGCACGGCCTCGGCCGCCGATATGTTTTGCAACATTGCGGGGTCTCAGAAATCCGCGATTTGTCTTGGTCCAGCTTTCTCCTTGTCCTGGCTTCGTCTCGATTGGGGTCGCCATGCCGCCCGTTGTCGCTGCCGCCCCGTCTTCCCTCCTCCCTGTTCCTCCCTCCGCACTTCCCCTTCCCCTCCTCCGTCCCTCCTCTTTCCTCCTCCCTCCCTCCCCTCCCTCCCTCGGACCTGCATCTTGCGAGGCAGCCGCCCGTTGTCGCCTCCGCCCCTCCTGCCTCTGCCGCTGCGCTCCCGAGAGGCTTTCCGTCGGGCGCCTCTCGGCAGGGGCGGGCCTAAACGGTGTTCTGGCGATTCCCAGGGCCGTTTTCGTTTCGATTTCGTTTTGCGTGAACGGCGGGTTGAAGACAAGACGAGAGAAAACGAAACCAGCACGAAAACGAAGCACACCGTTTAGGTCCAGCCCTGCCTCTCGGGGTTCACCCCCCCCCCATTTTGCCGGCGCGGTGCTCTCAGAGCCGGGCGCGGGACGCGGCGGGGCTGCCCTTGGGCTCTGCTTCCAGCGGGCGCTGTCGCGACTGGCCGCCGCCGACCTGGCCGCGCACATACATCACATATGCAGTCATACGTCAGTGCACATATACACGTACACATGTATTCGTATATCTCTATATCTATACAGGTGCACATGCATACATAGTGGCAACTATACATGTACACACAGCTGTATATCTATACGATGCGCAGGCATACATGTAGCCATGTATCAAACCACACACACATACTATGCATATATTTATACATGTATATATGTATATATGAATATATATATATATATATGTATATACATGCGTGCATCTATCTACGTCTACTGGCATTTCTGCATACATACATCTACACATGCACCTATGTAGTCTATACGTATATACGTAAGTACATATTTACACACATACATAGACAAATACATGTATGCAGGCATACATACATACATACATACATACATACACACATACACACATACACACATACACATACAAACATACACACACGTACATGTATACATACATGCATCCATACACACATACACACATTCATACATACATACATACACGCATAGCTACACACATACATACATGCATGCACACATACATACATACATGCATACATACAAACATACATACATCCATACATACAGGCACACATACACATATACACACATACATACATACATACATACATGCATACATACATACATACATACACACATACACATATACATACATACAGACACACACATACATACATACATACATACATATATGCATACACATAGACATACACACATACATACATACACACATACATACATACATACATACATACATACACACATCCATACACACATACACACATACATACACACGTACGTACATGCATATTTGCATGCATTCATACATACATACATTCATGCATACACATACATACATACCCACATACACACATACACACATACATACACACATCCAGACATCCATACATCCATACATCCATACATCCATACATCCATACATACATACATACATACATACGCACATACATACTTACATACATACATACATACATACATACATGCATACATACATACAGACAGACATACATACATACAGACATACATACAGACAGACAGACACACGTACATACATACATACAAACATACAAACACACATCCATCCATCCATCCATCCATCCATCCATCCATCCATCCATCCATCCATCCATCCATACATACATACATACATACATACATACATACATATGCATATATGAGCATCGGTATATATATATATATATATATGTACACATGTATATATATATATGTATATACACATACATCCCGCTCTGCCCCAGGCACACGGGGGCGCCCCCCAGGCCACGGCGGCGGCCCCCCCGCGGCCGCCCCACCGCCGAGGCTCGCCCCGCAGCCCTCCCCCACCATGCCTTGTCCCGGGGGCCGCCGTGCCGCCGAGTTCGATGCCTCCGTCGCCAGGCTGCGAGCCGCCCTTGGGCAGGCAGCGCGCGACTGCGCTGCCGCCGCGGCCCGGCGAATGCTGCCGCGCTCGCCCCGGCGGCGTGTCCCTCGCCCGCCTCCTCGCTGCGGGCCGCTGGCCGAGGTTGGCCAGCGCCTGGCTCTTCCGCGATGGGGGGCGAGCGCGAGCTGGAGCGGCAGCGCTGCTGCTGCCAGCGGCGCTCCGCCTTCGGCAGCCTATACGGCCGGCCTCGAGCCGCCACGCCGCTGCAGCCCCCGCCGCGGGCGGCACGTGGGCCACGGCGGCGGCCGCGCTGCGCCCGCCTCCCGGGCTGCCGCCCTGGCTGCGGCGCGCCCCCCCCCGCCCTGCCAAGCCAGGGACCCGCCCGGGCACGCCCACCAGGCCCGTTGGCCATCCCGTCTGCCAGGGTCTGGAAGGCCAGGGCACTTCTCCTCCCCCCGCTCTAGAGAGGCCAGGGCTTGTGCTCAGCGCCCTCCTCCTCCTCCTCCTCCTCCTCCTCCTCCTCCTCCTCCTCCTCCTCTCACCACTCAGCTGCCGATGCGTGGCGAACGCCGAGGGCCGGGCTCCGACAGAGTTCGGGTGGGCGGGCGATTCCCCGTCGGGGGCCCCACACCAGTCCTGCGGGGGGCAGGCTGCACCTGGCCACGGCGTGCACATGCTTCCGCGTGCTCCTGTGCTTCCCCTGCTGCTGCTCCTCCCCCTCCTGCCCACTTTCCTTTTTCACTCCTCCGCCTCTGCTGCTTCCCGGTGTTCCATCCATCTTGCCTTTCTCCTCCTCCGCTGCTCACCTGCTCTCCTCCCCCCGGTTTCTTCGTCTTCCCCTCCGTTACTCTTCTCTCCTCCTGCTCTGTCTCCTCCTCTCTCCCCCGCGCGTACCGTCCCAGAGGTGCTTCGTTCCACGCGCGCCAGATTCGCTGACCCTGAGTTGTGATCGCGCAGGTCCACCACGTCGGGACGACTACGGGGCGCGATCGGGGCGAACCGTGGACGAGCCTGTGGCGGAGCGGGCCGGATCTGCAGCGACGTGGAACGGGCTCTGTGCGTCGGGGGAGAGGCCCCCGAGAGCGCGTCCAGCGCCCGCGGCAGGTGACGCCAGTGGAGAAGGTGATCACCCTCCTCGAGGACCTCGAGGCGGAGGTGCCCTGGCCCTGCTCGTCCCGTGCCCGTGCCCGTGCCCGCCCCCCTGGCCCTCGCCTCCTCGGCCCTCCTCCGCGTTCTTCCCTCCCCCCCCCCCTGCTCGTTCCATCGCCTCGTCCCCCGCCGTCCTCTGCCTCCCCCTCCCGCTTCCTCTTCCTCTTCCTCCTCGTCCCTCCTTGCCTTCTTCGTGGTGGTGGTGGTCGTCGTTTTCCTCCTCCACCTCCTCATCCGCTTTCGCCTCTTACCATCGCTCCTCCCTCCTCCCTCCTTCCTCCCTTCGCTCTCCCCCGCTTCCCCCTCTTATCTTCTCCCTCCCTCTTTTTCCCTTCTTGTTGTCATCGTCGTCGTCGTCGTCGTCGTCGTTCTTGTCCTCATCGTGGTCGTCGTCCTTATCATCGTCCTCGCACTCGTCGTTGTCGCCGCTGTCAAATTTCCCATCTCCTCCGCCTTGTCCTCCTCCCCCTTCTTCGTTCTCTTCCGTTATGTCGTCGTCGTCGTCGTCGTCGTCGTCGTCGTCGTCATCTTCGTCCTTCCTAATTTCTCTTTTCTCATTTCGTCTCCCGCTTCGCTCCTCACTCCTGTCGCCTACTCCTTCTTTTCCCATGCTACCCATGCTGATGCTTCCGTGTGCCCTAAGGTGAAGGAAGAGGGCACAAAGGAAGCGGGTACCTACGACGAGTACGCCTGCTTCTGTAAGGCCGCCCATCCTTCCCATGCGAGGCCTCCTTGCCCTGTCGGTCGGTCGGTCTGTGTGTGTGTGTGTGTGTTAAGTTCGTGTGTGTGGTTGTGTGTGTGTGTGTGTTCGATGTAGCCCGTCTGCGCTGGGCACAACTCTCGAACGTGCGCGAGGCTCCCTGCCCCAGCCGCATGCGCCCCAGCGCGTGCCTCCGCGTGCAGCCGCCCCGGGCCGCCCGTGCGTCTCCGCGGCTCGTGTGCTCCTCGCGCCTCGCCCTCGCCGCCTCCCCCCCCCCGTCCTCCGCCTCTTCGGCGTTCGGTGCCCCCGTCTGGCTCTCTCGCTGGTGCAGCCCACTCGAGCCTGTCCTCCGCCTCTGCCCGTCTGCAGTCGCTCGGCCGCGTGCCGGGTCGGGCCTCGCTCCACAGCCTGGGCGCAGAGCGTCAGGCTGCCGAGTCAAACGGTGTGTGGTGTGTGTGTGTGTGTGTGTGTGTGTGTGAGTGTGTGGTGTGTGTCTGTGTGTGTGAGTGTGGTGTACACCTTAGGCGATGTTTAAGAAAACCTAAGTTTTCGTCCAAAGTCTCGATTATTCTTACCTTTTCAATGTACATCCCAAGATGTGTTGATAGAAGTTCTGGGTTTTCTTCAATTTCTGAGACCATGAATTTCTTAACCCATGATTTCTTAAGCATTTCGCAGGGTGTAGGCGTTCCCTGCTGTTTCCCTGTGAGGCCAACTGCCTGGCCTGGGATTCCGCACGCTGCCCTGCTGCCTCCTCCTGGTCGGCTGCCGGGGCCGACGTCCTGCTGCGCCACGCTTCTTGCCCCGGCTCGTCACAGTCGCACCGCTTCCTCCGTGTCCCCCGGCGAGGGCGTCTGTACACCACCGCCGTGCCAGGCCCTGGCCTCTCCACGGTGGTGGTGGTGTATCGATGCTTTCTGCGTGTGTCCGTCCTGTTTGCCTCTCTCTTTCCTCCCTCTGTCCCCTGCCCGCTTCTCCACGCCGCGTGAGCTGGCCCAGCCCGCGCTCCTCCTGCTCGACTTGCCCCTCGCCGCGCCGCTGCGTGGTGGTCGCGGCGCCAAACAGCATGTGTGTGTGTGTGTGTGTGTCGCTCGTCATTTGCTGGGGGAGGTGTATTCCATGTCCAGGTTTGAAGGGTCGGTCTGACTTGAATGGCTTAGTTTTTTTGGCGTCGTGGTGTAGTGTTTTTTTTTGTGTGTGTGTGTGTTTTTGGTCTGTGTGTCTGTGTGCCTGTTTGTGGAGAGAGAGAGAGAGAGAGCAACCGTATCAGTGTGTGTGTGTGTGTTCATTGTCGCTGCTCTGGGTCAGATCCTGGAGGTGGCCTCCCAGGGGTTCGCACGCGTGAGGACGGACGCCCGTCTTTTCCACCGACCGATGCGCTTCGGTCTTCGCGGTCCCTGCTTGGCTGCCAGGAGGGGCCCTCTCGTGCCTGCCAGTGGTCGATCTCGGCGCCACTGTCGTCTGCCTGCGCGTTTGCTCTTTCTGCCAGCATTTACCCGCGCGGGCGACGGGATGGAGAACGGACTGGGCGGCATGGTGCAGAGGCGTGCAGCGGAGCAGGAGGGATATCACGTCAGGGAGGACAACTGAATAGAGGACGGGATGGTGCGTACGGCAGTGGCGTGTCGTGCCGACGTGATGATGAACATGGCAGATGCGTGTCGTGCCGACGCGGCAGCAACCCCGCCGCGGGCGTTCAAGGTTGAACGCCGCTAGTGGCCCAGAATCCGCCAATACGGAACGATCTGGCGATCCAGAAGCCGCTGATCGTTGAAGGTTGAAAGCTCCACGCGTTGTCGAAAACCAACGCCTGCGTCGTCACGACACCAACCTGCCTTCCTGGTCAGCGCGGCCTGCCATTGGCCAGACCACCACGGAGACCAAGTCCGACTCCATCATGAACGGTCAAGACACTATTGACACCCTCTCCGCCGGCATCGCCGAGGACTGGGCCGCCGCCGCCACCGTGCCTCCTCCTGGCACTGGCACTTGTTGTGAGTAGTCTCCTCCTTCCTTCTCCTCCGTTCCTGCTAACCCCGCCCTCCGTTCCCTCCCTCCCTCCCTCCCTCCTTCCCTCCCTGGCTCCCTCCGCTCCCCCTTGGTGAGGCGTGCGCGTGCCGCTCCCTCTTACAGTGGGAGTGCGACGCCTGCTGGGAGAGGCTTCTGGACTGAGCTGTTCGCGGGTGCAAGGCACCTCGTACCATTCATTGACGGCTGGCTGATGCAAGGAGTGCCAGTCGAAGAATCACTGGCATCAACATCAATTTTCGGAGCCCTGAGAGTTTATATCTGTGCCGGTCTTTGTCCCTCTAGCTGGGTTAGTTCCGGCAGCCAGAATCCCAGGGGCCTCTGGGGCGCCTCGCAGAGGTTGCCGGTGCAGTGGGGCTTGTGCGGGTTGTGGGGCGCGTTATGGGGGGGGCGGGCCCTCTCGGGCCCCCTGAAGGGGCCCTCTGGGGCCCTAAAGGGGGCCTGTAGGGCCCGAGAAGTGAACCTTTCGTCCCCCCCGTTTGCCTAGGCCTCCTAGATGGGGTCCGAGGATCGCGCCGCATCGCCGATGCATCGGCGATGCATCGGCGATGCGGCTCGATGTGGAGCCCGATTTTCTCGTCGGCGCGTCGACGTCGCCGATGCATCGTCGATGTATCGTCGACGCATCGGCGATGCATCGGCGATGCGGCGCGATCCCCCGCCCCCATTCACTCGGACCCCATCTAGGAGGTCTCTAATTTATCTCCCACACCATGAGTTTGCGCATGCAGCTTTAGCATGACCTATTATTGATTTCTCCACAACAAGTTCTCCCCCACTATAATCTGACCCACTGCATGTAGCCTTCCCTGTGCGACTTCCTCGCCTGGTTCCCCTCCCTGTGCACTACTTGATTCTCCCCACCCACAACTCTTCTGGGTCTATTTTTTTGTCGAAGAGGTGCCAAGGCGCTCTCTTCTGCCCACGCGTCCCTCTGGATGCTTGGCCTCGCCGCACCATCAGTTCGCGCCCAAGCGGGGCTTGCCCAGGCTGTCCCGCCAGCGAGGCGCCCTCCTCCGCGGAGGCTTCACACCAGGGGTCTGCCGGGGACGTCGGCCAGGCTGTCGGCGGGGCCGCGTGCGGGGGGGGGGAGAGCGGCCCCCCGCTTGCGCCGCTGGCGGCGAGGAGCAGCCTCCGAACGAGAAGAACTGGCATCAACGATCGAGGATTCAGGCCTTCGAGTTGGAGTCTTAGGGTCAGGGCAGCGGGTTTGGGGTCTTCGGGTTAGGGTATTGGGATTGGGGTATTCGGGGTAGGGTCTTGGGGTTTGGGCATTAGGGTTAGGGTCTT